AAACTCTATATATATAACTACATACACTATATATATAACTACATACATAATATATTAGGTACAAACAAGTACGTACAAACGATACGATAAGATGTAAACGTAAATGAACAACATACGGATATAAACATTTAACTTATAACTATAAAAAAAAAAAAAAAAACAGGAAAAGAAAGGCAGATACATATATTCAAATATAGATATACTCAATATAAACATAAAATATGGTATATTCAATATACACATATTCAAGTAGAGATTTATTGAATATACATATATGGTATATTCAATATAGTTATATTTAAATACATGTACACATAATATGCTGTATATTCATTATACATATATTTAATACATGAATACTCAAAATACATATATATATATATATATTCAAATATGCAAAAATATGCAATATATCTAACCCTCTATACCTGTGCATATATCATAATTCGTATGTTAAAAAATTTGACCAAAAGAGAAAAAAAAGAAATGAAAAATGAAAGAAACCTTGACAGCTGAGGCAAGAACGGTTTCAGGTGAACAGGCGGGTCCACTATCTTCGCCCATTGCTTTGCCTAAAATAAATCAACATATTTTATAAACTTCTCATCCTCCTAAATATTTTTATTATCCAAATAAAAATTTAAATTAGAATTTTAAATTTAAATACTGTAAATCTCAAATTCCGGAATAATTAATAAGTAACCACGATTATATCTCCATTTTCATCTTAAAATTTCATTGAAAAGAAAACAAATTTAGAACGAAATAAGGTTAGAAATGAAAAAGAAGTAAAAATGCTTAAGAATAATTTGATAGACTTTTTTTTTTTGAATAAATTTTTGAGTGAATTTTTCCGGAAAGGAAATCTTGCAATATTCCAGAGAAGGAATTCAGGAAATTAGCAGTATTCTCTACCTAAATACTTCCCCTTTTTTTTTTTTAAACTTTTCGATTCGGTAATTTCTTTGATTAAGGAAAAATAAGCAACAGAAAATGAGTAGAGTATGACGTCGTTGACAAATACTAACATGACCGGACATGACATCATCAAGCGCAAAGGGGACAACCTCCCCAACAATTAGGCGTAATGGCATCAGCAAGCTGGAAAAGCGCCGAAGGGAGGAGTCATTTTGATGTGCTAGTGCAGACACAGACACAAACACAGACACAGATAGACACATACACAGACACGCACACACACACACATACACACATGTGTCCACCCACGCACACAGAAATCTTAGACTATAGCTTTTAAGGAGAAAGATTAAGAGTGTAATGGGAAGGAAGAGGTTAGAATAGTCTTACTCCAGGTGAGACATTTATGTAAATTTTTGCTAAGACTTTTTTTCCCTTCCTCCTCGTTCGATTTCGATGGTGGGAATTCGGTCACATAGTCTATTATGGTAATTGTCATCCTAATGAAAGAGAGAGAGAGAGAGAGAGAGGGAGGGAGAGAGAAAGGGAAAGGATTAACTGTCGTGTCACTAAACCTTTGACACATTCACTATACCGTAAATCATTTTGAACTTTGACATGATTAATAATTGTATAGATATTGATATCTGACAAAGAGGAAATAATATATAAATGTCAGGTTATTTGATACATTAACAGAAAAAAAAGAAAAAAAAAAGAATGAGGAAACAAAGAACGAGAGAGAGAGAGAGAGAGAGAGAGAGAGAGAGAGAGAGAGAAGAGTAGG